AACGGAGCTTCTCTGGCCGGCTACCTTCTCTTGCCAATTAATACCCTTTTAGGCCGATTTCTACGATTTATTCGGTCTGCAAAAAAAGTCTGGTGGAGACTAAGTAGGCCTGACAGCTGTGTGAACTCTTGACTTTCAGTTTGCCCTGCCCTGATGTCTTCACTACCTGTCGTGGAACCTGGTTTTGCAAGAGAATGTTTTCTTTCTGGTGTAATTTGAAAAAAGAAATTAAGTCAGGAAGTTCAACACAGAATCTGTGTTTTCTTGTATTCTGCAATCACCAGTCAAAAATTTCAAGCTTTAAAAAAATAATATATTTTATGGTGACATTATGGGATTCGTAATAAAACTTTTTAGAGGAATTTAAGGTTTTAATGTACTTTAATTTTATTGCTGTAATGAGAAGACGAGACTTTGAACATGTACATTGACATGCTTACCTGAATAAAACAAAAATTTATTAGATTTTGTGAAGTCTGAAATGTCTTTACCGGTAGTTACCTAATTGTAGTAAGCAATAATAAGAATTGTAATGATCATCAAATTAATATTACATACTTAGTATAATTAGTATAATTTCTAGATTATACAAAGAATATCTTAAGAGGTTTTGTGAATTTTTTGTTCTGCAAACAAGACAAAAAAATGACAAAACTTCACCATATTGACCATGTTTTCACTGTTTTTTATTTGTGGCATATATTGCACAAAATACATCTACAGTTACTCAGAAAGGTCCACATGTACATTTACATACAAGTACTACAGTATAGTGGAAGAACAACCATTATAATACAAGTGGTGCACAATCTATATCAAGGTGAAAAAAAGTTATGCTCACTGGATACAACTCTAACAGGGATTTAGTAAAGACAGTCAGTTTATTCCTGTATTGCCAATCATTATGACAGATTTTGAAAAGCAATCAGCCCATGGCAAATTTCAATTTGTTGTGATCAGAAGTGAAAAAAAACTGATACAATAAGATGCAGGATGCAGTAGAAATTGAGAACAAAATGTTGCATATTTGAAACAAATTTGAAAGAAAATCATTGCAATGATAAAAATGCTCAGAGTTACTCAGAACTGCCACACAACTTCCCATGAGTCAATTCAGTAAACTGGAAAAGACTGCATGATGGGAAATATGCTTGCTGAGACCTTCTGTATGTAGCACTTCAGCAGAACGTACATGTACCATTACGGCAGAATCTTGTAGCCTCCTTTTCAGGCGCACGCAATAGAAGCGCCAGCCAGCAACCCTACATATATCTCCGTATATATGTAGGGTTGCCAGCTGGAGCTTCTATTGCGTGCAATCTACATTTGATCAGAAAATACCCCTCAAAAAAACGACTGATCCGGGAACCCCTAAGAATCTTGATTGTTGGTTTTTCGTGGTTTTAGTTGGATGTTTGGTCGACGTTGCATTAGAATTTTGCCTGTTGCAGACTATCTTTTCCGACACAACATTTGGAAACTAGTGTCTGGATGTTAACCTTATATACGTGAATACGGCATTACATGAGACGTTCTGTCGAAGTGTTATACATAACGCATTACGGGTTTCGCACAGTTGCAGTACGTTCTGCCGACATGCTGCTGTACAATGTACTAGTATGTGGTTGATGGAGTGTCATGTGACCACAAGTGACCAATCAGAGGAGGCCAATGCCTTATATCTAACACACTGTATTAAGTACCCAAGCCTTTATGAATATCCATTAATACATTGTCATGTATTAACAATTTTATGACAGAATCTGTCCTCAATATCTAGTCATGGTTTTACCCTCAACCTAGCTGTAGCAGAAGAATTCACTTGAAACAAATGTACATGTTTAGGGTCTAGTGCTGCGTACCAGTTCACTGGACTTGGATCTGGACTTTTAAGAATGTTTAGGTTTAAGTCCAAAAAAACCTAAAAGTCAAGAACTGAGTCCGGACTTATTACCATAAAAGACCATTTCACATACCCCTTTTCTTTCCAAACCACCTAAAACCTTCCGTAGATTGCTGCAAAATGAAGAAAACATTGCCATCGGGCATCGTCAAGTACCGGCCTTCATGTTATGTGGCCAAAGATGCACCCAGACAATATTACAAGGTTGCCAACATGCAATTTTGTATATGTCATGGGTTTAGGTCCCGACTTACAAGTCTGGAACTGAACCTAAACCTCTGGACTTGAATCCAGACCTGAACCTAAATGTGGGCTTAGGTATGCAGCACTATAAGGGTCCATTTCAACATTACCAGTCATTACACAATGCCCACGACAGCTTGCCTATCAAACAATGGGAGTTGCAATTTTATTACAGGATGATATGATAACCTGTCAGCAGCGATTTTATAATCACTAATATTCGTCATGAGTTGCAGTAAAGCACATGTGGTAAAATATTGGTCCTACTACAATCCAGTAGTTACTCTTCAAGTCACTAAAACAATGACAATATGAGATTTAGCAGTACTGCACAAAATGTCCCCTTTGCAGCTGTGATGCCCAGAAGTGATCATTATCCATTTACATGTAGTACAGTCCTTACAGTAGTAAGAGGGCTCAAAAGGAACAGGGTTCCATTCCCAGTCATTGTGAATACAAGATTGACATTATCAAATTTCAATCCCTCTCTCTGCTACAAACCAAACTTTGAATTATCATTATAGCAGTCTTGTTTTCCAAAGCTACAACCCGTTACTACCATGGTTAGCCTGCCAACATGTCAGACCAACTACACGCATCACAACATCAGCTGTACAAAATCTATCATCGTCTGGCACTTTCCTGGTCCTAAAACTTTCAGACAAATTGCAAGCTCCCAATTTTCATGAATGCACAATACAGCTTTTGGACTCAAGCTACTGTAACAATAACCTACTGGCCAAGGCATAAACTCCATTAAAGAATAGCGAATATGGACTCGAGTTAGCTAACTTTGAGCAACTTGAGACACTAATTAATTCCACCTATGACATTTATAACTCCAGCTGCCTAACATTGAGAAACATGGGGCAGTTTTTCATTCAGTCAATCACATTTCAAAGCTGTATTAGCTTTAGTTGTAGTTAAGAATGTCTCTAAGATTGTCTTGTGCTTAGTGACTTTAGACCATGTGCAGACAGCTGTAGCATAGAGAACATGAGAGAATTTCAGCCCTGTAATGGTTTTAGTGCACAGCAATGATCTATGCTTGTTGTTTGTAGGCTGTGGCCACAACAATCTATTTCAAAGGTTCTCTGACTAACACAACTTTCTTTCTTGTTTTAAACACATCTTACATGTACTATCCTCTGAAATGATGAAAAAGAATTAGTCAAAATATGATTTTAATAATTAATGCTGACCATTTTCAAAACAGATTTCCAATTTTAAAAACAGATTTCCAGTCTTTACTTTTTGATTACTGGTAGCATGTCACCACATTGAAAAAGTGGCATGGTTTACAACAGAATTTAAATGTTGTAACTATAAAATTAGCGCTAGCAGATATATTTCCACTTTTTTGATAATACTTCTCAATGCTGTGTACAACATTTCATACTGCAGATATCCCTTTCAATATCTGTTAGTGTTACACCAAAATGTTTGCAAAATATATCCTTTTATATGAAGATGATAAAAATAAAGAACCGTGCAATAAGATAGATTGATGTGGCCAGTTGGATGGGTACCTGAGATATGGAGTGTCATGAACAACAAGGGCAATGCTAAGACTGCCATGGCAACAACAATACTGTCACAACTTGCACAATCTAAGGCCACACCGACTTAATTTTATGGATGACATCCACGCGCGTATTGATTTTCGCCTGTTCTCAGAAAAAAAAAAGATCACACCCATCGAGGCTCTGGCCTGGTTCTAGGCCTGGGTAGTCCATGGTAGTTAGCGACAATGCGGAGCCGGTGGTAACTCTGGAGGATGGCACCCAGGCTGCCCAAACTCCACGACTCAAGAACTCAGTACATACGTACAGTGCCGATTCATAAATTGCGCAAAAAGCCAGCATGTGCCGGCTTGTCGTGGTATTGTGAATTTACGGTTACCGTAGTACATAGTCTATGTACTACGGTAACCGTAAATTCACAATACCAGCTTTGTATTTCAATCTGTGGTTCAGTTGCATTTTTTATTTTTGGCCGGAATTTTTTTTTTATTCACCCGCGCACACTAGTTTGGGAGTCTTCAGAGGATGTCATCCATAAAATTAAGTCGGTGTGGCCTAACCAGTGTTCTAGCCAGCCTGACATTTAATTCAGTCTTCACAATTTTGCTTGATGTACATTGTAAAATCAAGTCGAGCCTTGGAGCCACAACAATCCTAGGGGTATGCTTTGCCCTGGAGAATTTTGAACCACTGAAATGCTATTTCCTGCATTTTGAGGGGCAAATTTTGCTGGTAGACTCACATGTGTTACTTAATGACCTCTCCTTGCATATCTTTACATGCCGTTTTTTTGTCAATCAAAGATGACGGATTGAGCAAAATTTTTGTCAGTCAAGAGTGGCAAAATTGTATCAGAAAGACAGATGCTGGCTAGAACACTGGATCTAATGCTTTTTTCTGGTAAAATACAAATGATCATGACTGAATACATGGCAATCTTTGTACATGTATATGTACAAACATGTAGTAAGCTGAACACATTGGCAAATGTGGCTTTCCCTAAGAATTAATCAATGACACTAAGGGCTTACAGGAAGGGTTTATGTATGGTTGAATAACCCTTGCTTAATGATATACCTGAAGATACTGACACTTTTCCACTATTTCTGCATCAAAAATAGCAACGGGGACAATTGCAATCAATGCCATGATCAGCATAGAGACTATTTCGCAGTGAGAATTTTTAAAAATCATTTCCTAGCACCACAACACGACTCATATGACACTGTTAGAAAGCAACTACTGTCACAGTAAGTAGTGTTTTTGCCACCTTCGCCTGACATCCTGCAACTTACATGTGAGCATGTTTAAAAAACATCAGCTTATCAAGAACCGTGAATACAACAAAAGTGCTGTTCTTATTGCATCTAACTCCAAATCAGTTTGACTCCACATAACTTTTGTTGACTACAGTATTATTTACATGTCAATTTTACTGGGTCTGCCCTTGTAAGTGCCACTATAAAGTGTAAGAAAAAAACCTTTCCAAAGAGCAACCTGACAATATATTTTTTTATCACCTTCAAGCTAATGGAAACGTACTTCAACATGAAGCACATATTTCCTGCAAGTCCTAGCTTATGGTCGAAAAAACAGTTAGGAACTGAAATAAACTATGAATTTTAAAGCCCTAAGTTAGACAGCTCATAGACCTTGTTTGTAAATGTTGTGTGCGTTTGTGTTAACTTCTAAGGGGTGATGTGCTCACAACTAACTACTGGTGAGAGAGGAACAAGTGACGTATCTTTGTACAATGTGATCAAGGCGTGACGTGCTGAATGGAACAAGAAAAAAAAACACCAACAAAATGAAAAAATGGCCGGCGAGAAGTTGTAAAATCCTGGCTGGGGGATAAACCTAGTCTTTTGTCCCTTATTTTCATAACTACTTTATTTTGAAAAAGTTGTTTTTTTTCTGCTGATGATCATTCAAGCACAATTCCACATGTACAATGTACATGTAAGAAGCTACTTTATGCAGTTTTGAATCACTGACAAAGCAAAGATTATCAGAATGAAACAACTGGAAAGAAGAAGAAATCAAGAAAAGGAGGAAGAACATTCATTTGGCAATCAATGGAAATACCTGACCACCACAAGTCTCTTGGCTAATACAAGCCTCCAGATCTCCAACAGTTGTGGACAGTCTGCACAACCCAAATACTGACAAACCATATCACTAATTTAAGGTTTTTGTATTGCCACAAAGTATCATAAGCCAATACCTATAAACATCAAGAGCTCCCCCCCCAAAAAAAAACGATTGTCCCAGCCAAACCATATTTGATTATGCTTAATTCATATCTCCCTAAGCAACTTTTCCATACCTAATACATTGTACCCTCTTTTTCTTATACCATTGCCACCTGTTACCAGCCTCCAGTATCATTTTTGTGACTGTTGTAACCATGGAGATATCCTTGGCAACCAGCAACCAGTTTCCATGGAAACCAACAACAACCTCAAACTTGAATTGAGTCTGCCCAGATTGCACGCTCCAGCTAAAGTAACTGTAAGCTATGTTTTTAACTGATGTGTTTTTTTTTTCTAAAGGCTCCTTGCATTGCCTTCAGCTAGAAACTGGGCTGGAAAATATAGAATCCTTTATCCCAGCAATATAACTTCAGAAGGAGCAAATTAATCTGATTCCAACAAGAACATAATTCAAGTTCAGCGGCCAGTGTAAACGGTGTGCTGTACGACTGGATAACCAGTAATAACCAGCATCACCAAACCATGGCCTGAACCATAACAGCATGTACTGTATAAGTGACAGGTCACTTTGGGTTATACTCGGGCAGTGCCTTGATCTTGGCCTTGTCTTCTTCGCTGTCGTTGCGTGCGATGAAGATGGTGTGTCCGTACCCGCACGAGACTCGGTGGATGTACACGCCGTCCAGCGTCTTCACCTCTTTAGGAATGGTTGATGACTTGGCCTTGTTCTCGCCGTAGCCCTACAGAACACAGGGCAGTGCATTATGTGCCACCTATCAGATAAAACCAGTACTGCAGAGACTGAAACACTTCTTTCTGCACACCTTTACTGGCGCAGGCTAACGTTGAAAATCACCTGCACCAGAAAAATTTGACCATCTGTGCAGCCAGCACCCTTCGGCTTAACACACCAGATTCGCAGGCATGCGGCTGGGTGGCAGCTGGCTACTAAATGACTTGTTATACCTAAACTTTGAACATTGTTTGAAGCTATCTAAATGATAATGCCCCTGCTGTACTTGATAACAGCGAGTTCCACTCTGTAATCATAGCTCTAGGAAAGAATAAGTTTTTGGGCACCTCAATACATGGTTAATAACTCAGACTGGTACTTGAAGGCATAGCTATTTCTTTTATAAGGTACTTAGGCCAGACCAATTTAATTTCTTGGTTAACGGATTTGCCCGCTTCATTTTTTTCTGATTTGCAAATAAAAATAAAAAATTCAGAATCAACTGCAAAATGCTCATATTTTGCCCTGAACAGTTGAAAACAGTCCTTTTCTTACTAGTACTTGTTACAGTTATTCCACCTTTCAATGCAGTGGTATAATTAAAAGTTCAAAATTCATTGTTAAAATTTTGAACCAGCCTGGTGTGTTGACTACATGGCTCCTATCATACCATTTTGGGACATAACAGGATGTCCAGGCCTGTTTTTATTTTCATTTTTTTTTGCCCGCCCGCTCCATTATTTTTCTAGAAAAATCTGTTAACCAAGAAATTAAATTGGTGTGGCCTTAGTAGTTAGTACAATGTATGTCCACCAGTTATTAGCAACAAACTCCCTCACCAGCTCTCCGTATGTGGGGCTGGGTCCCCAGCTGATGGTACTATCGTCTGCGGCCACCACAATACTGCGGTTACTACAGCCCACACTGCGCACGTCCCAGCCACTCAGGTCCTGGATAGGTTTGGGGTACATGTTCGCTTCTCCTGTCGTCTTTGTCTGCCCCCAGAGGTACAGCTGACCTACATGTAAATGTATAAAATAAATACAAACAAACAAACATGTACCCAATAGAACAACATTTCAGTCATACCCTTTACCTTCCAACCTGCCCCGGTTTGGAAATGCCATCTGTATCTGTATCTGTTTAGCCATCTGAGTGGAGCAAGGGGCCAGCAGTTGGCCAGAACACTTTGGCAGGTAGGTACGGCACTAACTAGCTTCTAACAGACTTTGGCAACAGCTGGAAAGTGTAGAAATCAGACAAATAGCCACTGATAATCTGCCAGGACTAACTCTCCTAGCATGTTATCTATCTATTTAACCCATTTCTACCCATCCAGTTGCTTGCCATGTCTGGTATCTGTATCTTTATCTGTATAGCTGATATAATTGCCCTTCTGCGTAACACACCAGCTTCACAGGCAGCCGGCTATATTACACTGAACACTTGAACATCTAACTCTAAACATTGTTAAAAGCTACATTGTACCCAATGCTAAAGCCCCTACTGTACATGGTGACAGTGAGTTCCACTCTAGTTCTAAGGAAGAATGGTAGAGGCTAGGCACTAACCGCCATTGTCCAAGATAGCCATGGAGTAGAAGGCCCCGGCATAGATGGTCCTGGCACCGCGCCCCGGGTAGTCGAACATCTTGACCAGCCTGGGCACGTGTTCGTCCTTCTGTTCACTGTGCCCCAGTCTGCCGTATCCACCAAAACCCCAAGTGTACACTCTCTTCTGCTTGTCCATCGCAACCTGGAAAGTACAACCTTTATCAAACACTCATCATCATCTATCATCCTTCGAAGAGGTGGAGCATACAAAGTTAGAACGCCAAAAATGTTTCTCATTCATCACAGAGATATTAGTTCCTGTCCCTCCAGGCCTGTTTCAATTTCAATAAGTTTCTTAAGTGTTATGTTTGGATGTCCAACACTTCTCTCTCTATCAGGGTTCCAAAGTAGAAGCCTACTGGCTGGTTCTTCACTGCGTACTACACTCAACACAAACAAAATTACTGGATTCGCCAAAAAAACTCAAGTACTGGATATGATTTTATAAACAGTCAGATGTTTCCGATAGCATCCACTACCTTTTGTCAGTGATACTAAGAGACTTGCCTGAGAATGGCAGGTTTATAAGCACGAACTATAGTTAATTGATATGCAAGTAAGTGAAGACATGTTTTTGGAAGCCCAAAAGGAAACAACTATTACTGGATTATTAATAATTTTAAAAGTAGGTAGACCAGATCCTGAAAGTCACGGGAGTTTTAACCTTTAGCACACTGAACTAGCCATTGGCTACCAATTCTCTATTAGTTTTGAAGTTAGGTAGGAGAATGTTAAAGGGATTTAGACTGTACCAGGCTTTAGAAGGGACTGGGAAGAGCCCAGGTGTAATTAATGTACTCCTTCAGTTGATCAACTCCCCTGGCATGTTGTCTACTTCTACTCTTTCCAGTCACTTCTGAATCCTGGTAGAAGATTCTTTTAAAAGTCATCCTTTTCTAGTTTTTACTAGAGACATATAATTTTCATTTTTACCCAACTAGTAATGGACTACAATGTATTATCAAGGGTCAACCCTGGGAGAGAATAAAATCGTTAGGTACACAATTAACACAATGAAATTTACAATAATATATACATACGTTGGATCATATAATCTACATTCAAATTATCAGAACTACATTCATTATACAGTAATAGGGTTACTAACAGATACTAGATTCTGTATCTGTATCTCTATAACACTAGAGACATATATTAAGTATCCTACGGTGTGATTGGTGCCACATTTGATGTCCACCAGCTGCACATTAGTGATGGGGTTGATGAAGCCATCCTTCGTTTTCTCGATGAAGACGCTGATTCTCCGCGGGACCAGCTCGCAGTCGTACGCCATCTTGTTCGATGTTACGAAGTATTGGCCATCTGTGTTGTTACCTGGCAACAACAAAATATAACACAATTCTTAGTACTGATCATATTTGTTTAGTTAATAATTGAGGATTAGGCAGATTGTACTTACCATGAAGGATAATCCCAATTATACCTCACACGAACTATTTGGGTATATCATTTACCTTATGCAGTATTTCCTATGCTTATCGCTAGGTGGCGCACGTGTACAAAGCTTTAATCGCAAAGCATCACGGGATATCATGACGTAATGACAATGTTCGCCGCCATTTGACGACGTGCGAGAAAGAATCTGTGCTGTTCACCATGGGTGGGCATTTTCAGCTACTTGGAAGCTGAAGAACAGCAAGGGTGGGAAGATATACCCAAATAGTTCGTGTGAGGTATAATTGGGATTATCCTTCATGGTAAGTACAATCTGCCTAATCCTCAATTATACCTGCACACTCCCTATTTGGGTATATCATTTACCTTATGCAGACTTCAGAGCCGTGGACAGCACAGCCTGGCAAAACGTGTGTTGGTTGTTGTCCCTCCTGTAGTACTTCAGGAAGGTAGACTCTCGTGACCAGTCCGCTGCATTCATGATGCTATGTAGAGACACCCCAGCAGCTGTAGCAGCTGAAGTGGATGCTCCTCGAGTGGAATGAGCTGAGAAAGTTGCTGTGTCAACACCTGCCGTGCCTAACACTGACTTAACCCACCTGGCCAGGGTCGCAGAACCAACTGGCCTGTGTGGTCTGCTGAACGATATGAACAACTTCTCGCTCCCCCCCCCCCTTCTTTCCGAAGGGAGAAGTCCGCCTTAGATATTCTTTCAGGTATGTGAAGGCACACAAGCGCCTGTCCTGCGGGAAGGCCGCCCAAAAACACTTTCTGGCAGGTTTCCCTGGTCTAGAAGTTTCAGCAGGGTAGGAATTGTCCAAGAAACACCGTTTCTACATTTTTTTTCTTTTTTTTTTTATTGAATCTCAAGTCAAGAGCCGCTAAAGTCTGACCTCTGTCGGCTGACACCAATGCCGCTAGTGTTACCAACTTATGAACCAGCTGTTTCAAACTAAGACTATTAGCTTGGCAACAATGCAGAAGGTACTCTAGGACCCGACTGACGTCCCATGTTGAAACATATCTTGGACAAGGAGGACGTTTGTGAAACAGACCTCTCATCAGTTTGGACACTAGAGGGTGACTACCCACATTACAATGGTCTACTGGTAAGTGTACAGACGAGATCGCAGAACGAGCCACCCCAATTGACATACAATGTATAGCAGTAGTTCTGTCGGAACATCCATTCAAGATATTCTACTACGCTCTCTATAGCGCCGCAAACTGGATCAATCTTCCTTCTATCACACCAGCTGGCCCACTGAGCCCATGCTGACTGATACTGTCTAGAAGTGCTTTCTCTCCAAGCCGAGAGGATGAGGTCTGAAGCCCCTGCCGAAAGGCCCCGACCCTGCAACTGTCGCCTGATCTTGGCCACGCGGCAAGCATCAGATCTGGCCACAGCGGATGGGGTCTCCTGTTGTGCGGCAGGAACAGCAGATCCCAGCTCTGTGGCAGGAGAACCGGACTCTCGAACAACATGTTCAACACCTTGGGGTACCAAGCCTGAGACTCCCAAACTGGAGGTATCAAAATCACTATTGCTACGTCTGACTGGACTTTCCTCAGTACCTTGAACACTAGGCTGAAGCGGGGAAAGGCATGCGCTAGCCCCAGGTTGCCTCAGTGAATGTTTAGGCCATCCACCGACATGACCTCTGGTTCTGGGCGCCAAGAGACATACTCCTTCAGCTGAGCGTTCATACGAGACGCAAACAGATCTACTGTCAATGCATTGCCTGTCCAATTGTTCAATGACAGGAAAAACTGAGCGGTTCAGTTGCCACTCTACCTTGTCCAGAAAAAACCCGCGAACACCTGTCCGCTAGGGTGTTTGTCAATCCGGGAACGTGAGTTGCAGACAACGTCAGGCCTCTTTCCAGGGCCCACGACCACATCTCCAGGGCCAAGGCTGCCAAATCTGGCGACCTTGTTCCCCCCACGTGATTCACATATGCAACGGCTGTTGCGTTGTCCAGCCTTAGCAGATCATGCTGAGTATCTGCGCTCACAAAGCTTCTTAGCGCCAGGGAGGCCGCTTTCAATTCTAGTCAGTTGGTCACAGTGCGTGCGCGCTTCTGTTTGCGACCAGCGCCCGCCTGTCTCCTGACCATAACAATGCGCGCCCCATCCTTCCAGTGAGGCATCCGTGCAAATTGTCAGGTTTGACGGAACAAAGACTTTACTTCGCGCACATGACCGATCCACCACTGTAGATCTTTTGCTGCATCTGGGGTTAGACTGACTAAAGAGTCAAAATTCTCTCGGCTTCTTTATGCCGAAAATTGAGAAGCTGTTGCAGAGCCCGGAAAAGTAAGGGCCTTGGAAGAATGGCTTGCTTGGCGGACTCTAACAGCCCCACCACGCTGGCTAGCTGTCTGATTCCTATCACCTCCTGTTCTAGAAGTGATAGGCAAGAACTCACTACCTTGTCTAACTTGTCTTCGGTTAGGTAAATTGTCAAAGTACGAGAATCGAGAACAAGGCCTAGGAAAGTCGCTACCTGAGACGGTACCAACTGCGACTTCTCCAGGTTGAGAACAAACCGAGTTGCTCTAGAAGCTCTCTGCCTATAGCAATGTGCTCTAAGCATTGTTCCCTCGACCTTGCAATGATCGGTAAGTCGTCTAGGAAAACTACTACTAGTAATCCAGGGGTCTCCCCAAGCAAGGAAACAAGGGCGCTGCGCCTCTCATAAAGTTTTCAAATGTAGGGTCTTCTCTTCGTACTTTTGCTTGTGTTAGCTTGGCTAATTCGTGAAATTTTGCTGATTTGGGGCCAAGCGGCGTCACTATGCCCATCGGTATTGTCTGACAAAAGTTGTAAAAAGGCGCTATTTGAATAACAATAGTCCACTTTGCTACACAAAATCAATGTGTTTGGTAAAATGTTGACACCCTGCTGGCATTTGAAAATCCTATTTCCATGTAAACAACGCTAATTTCTCCATGAAATACAGCCCAAACAGTCAGAGAATAGATTTTTAGGGGCTAGTATATGGCGATCGTAACGTGGAAAATCCCCTTTCAAAATTCGGCAACATGGAAGAAAAATAACTCACGAAAATCTTTCCCTTCAAATGAGGAATCAGTGCTCCAACAAATTAAACATAGAGAGAAGAACATTTCTTCTTTGTTGTGACCTTGTATTCAATCCATTTTTACGAGTTTTGGACACGTTTTCGTGGCCTTGAACATAGAAATGTGTAGCGCTCGGCACGAGGTCGGCCATCTTGTTTTCTTCAAATCTCCCGATATCTCGCGAGATTCAGTGAGACTTGGGCAAAAACACTGCAGTTTTGACCAAAACCGCTAGATGGCTAGGGTAGAATTACAGGTTTGTTGTTGTAGTTAAACTTTGAACGGTTGGACTTAGAAGTGCTCGAAGGGGCTGACTTATAAGCCTTACTCAAAGTGCGTCTAGCCTAATCGGCTGAATTAACCTTCTCCAAAAAGGTGTCTCCAAATTAAGAAGGGGAAGAATCTGAAGTTCCCGAGCAGGTCGCTACATTTTTGAGCGAGGACTTACTCACAAATTCGGAGTTTAACTGCTGCCAACAACTCTACTAAAAGGTTAGCAGCCATTAGCATCTTATCCTGGCAATCACTATTATCAGTGTTTACGGTATCACGCTTGATCATATTAGCCACTACTGGGTCTAGAATCGGCGCCCGAAGTGCTAATTCAACATTAAGTGGAGTGGGAAAAGTTTTCCTTCCTCTCTTCACTAAGGGTTCGGACCATCCTCTAAACCCGATGCTGTTTGCAAAGCGATAGAATCGTCTTTGGTGTTTTTTTTTTTGATCAGCTTCCTCTACTATGACTCAGTATAGACGTGAAATGTGTGGCAAGGACATGAAACAAGATATGAAACATGTCTTCAAGACCGATTTGCCCACCGGTTCCTCCAAATACTTATTTGAAGTTATTATCGTAGGGATTATCAAACGACAAGGAGTTACCTTCGTCAGAGTCAGAAAAGGTGATTTTTCCCTCCTCCGAACACTCTTCCACTTCAGAACCTGGATGCTCTCGCCGGAACCGACTACACCGGCTCGGCTGGTCGACGCTACCGCCCCGTCAACGTCCCGAGGTTGACGGGATGAACTGGACGCCTGAGGAAGTCCCAAGCTGGAACTGATCCACTGAAGAAAAGAGGCAGCGTCGAATCCAGGCGGGAAGGGTGTTTCTGATGGAGGTGGGGGTGGAGGAGACTTTTCCCCACCAAGCTTCGGCATGGTCGGGGAGCCCAACTCCTCCGAGTCCGGAGGAAATTTAGGCCGGGGCGGCGGCAGCTCCGCGCCGTCTCCTTCCTTGACTGATGTTCCCGGTGCCAACGCCGAAGGGGCATTTCGCTCCCAAGCGGCGGATGTTCCCGGTGCCAACGCCGAAGGGGCATTTCGCTCCCAAGCGGCGGAATGAGGTTGGAGTTCTTCCCTTCTTTCCTCCGAACCTCCAGCTGTAGGAGCGGGGACTTTTCGTTCACCCAACTCCTCTTCCTCCTGTCCGGAGACATGTGCAGGCACGCCTGTATTTTCCACGGCCAGGAATTTTTCCTGACTAGCGTTGGGAAACAGGCCGCTTCTCTTGCCGTTACGACCCGTCTGGTCCTCCGAAAGGCTACCTGAATCGCCCTCGTGGGCAGAAGACTTCGTTTTATCCTTCTTTTTGGGCCTAACGCCGAAAGAAAATCCGAAAAAATAAGGAGTAGGGAAACGAACGTGCACCCCTCTGCGAACGCACAAGGAAAATGGCGGCGAACATTGTCATTACGTCATGATATCCCGTGATGCTTTGCGATTAAAGCTTTGTACACGTGCGCCACCTAGCGATAAGCATAGGAAATACTGCATAAGGTAAATGATATACCCAAATAGGGAGTGTGCAGGTATAATAAGTATGACACCATTATGACTGGTGGTCAAACAAATTCGAAAACTTGATTTACATTACAAGGCACTGGCAAAAGTACAAACCATCTTGGCAAAAGCCATTATATTAAAAGCAAAACATTCTTTTATCAACAAGGTGAAATTCAGAATTGCACAGAACTTAATTCCATATTTCAGGCCATCTTGGAAACCATACATTCTTTAGTCAATAAAGGTAACTAGAATTGCACAGAAATCCAAAATCTCAGGTCCATACCTTAGTTGTATTTCATGGAATTTCTAATACATTTGTATGGTCACTGGGGGCAAATCAAAGAACATAACAATATCCTTAAGTTTATTGGATAAAAAGAAGAGCATGTCTTACCCAGCTGCCCATATTCTGGACATCCGAAGGAGTACAAGGCCCCCCGACAGTCCACCACCATACTGAACTCTGCACCACAGGCCACCTTCACTACAGGTGGACCTGTGTACACGATCTGAAACACACAAACAAACAAACATGTTACAACAGTCCACCACCATACTGAACTCTGCACCACAGGCCACCTTCACTACAGGTGGACCTGTGTACACGATCTGAAACACACAAACAAACAAACATGTTACAACAGTCCACCACCATACTGAACTCTGCACCACAGGCCACCTTCACTACAGGTGGACCTGTGTACACAATCTGAAACATACATACAAACAAACATGTTACAACAGATCATGGGTACAAAACATAACACAATTCAGCTTGTATGTCAACTCACCAACAGTATACTTAAACTTGGACTTAATTTTGCTATAGGAGGGGTATTCCTAGTGTGGTGAGTTTGCAGAGGGAGGTTATAGTGAGAAAGGGAAAGAAAGCTACCAGAAATATCAGAAAGAATGACAGGAAAAAACAGGATGTTTTGTCTTGCGATAATGGAAAGTCTTTTTGATGTCTTAACTTGTAGAAGCTGACCTGAGTAGGACTGGGCACTGCAGGGTTCTCGTTCCCCAAACCCAGCTGACCCATCTTGTTTTCACCAAAGGCAAACACCTTTCCATCATCTGAAAACACAAGAAACATAACGTTACCAAAGCAGTCACATATTCTGGCTAGTCAAGCTTAATATTTCAGCTAATGTTTTGCTCCCAACAACTTGAGAAAAGGGTCCAGCTGAGCATACTTAAATACCTGAAGGAATTATCCTTTTTTTTGTTGAGTTAGCCATGAAAAGCTACATACTATTGCTACTGACTATATATTTCTACTAACTTCAGGATAAAATATATTTTAGCAAAAACACTTTATGGTCAACAATACAGAACCATTTCACACAAGCTGACAATGTATTTTCTTAACCCAGTCTATGACTTTTTCTGAAGCCTTACGATTATTTCACGACCCGTTTTAAAAAAATAATAATCATTACAACAACAAAAACACACACCTGTCAGACACAGCGTATGGTTCCTTCCACACGCTGCTTCCACGATGTTGAACCCTGCCAGACTCTCGATGACGGTGGGCACGTCTACCCTCTTCATGTCACCGTGACCCAACTGGCCTTTGTCGTTTCGTCCTACAAAATGCAGCGGCAACAAGAGATAAAAAAACATGTGAGTGATGAAACATTGTACAATCAATTTTCCAACATTGACATGTAAATATAAGTGTCCTCATGCAAGTTTTACTTTGTTAAACTGTAATTATATAAGTTCAATCACTCAAGAAACTGCCAAAGTCTTATAAAAAAGAAAGAAAAAAAGATAATCCCTACCTACCAAACCAAAGGACTGATCCAAGAAACACTTTTTCCCTAGACCTAAAGTTAGTCTCATAGCCTTTTTGAGGCAGTTTCAACAAAGAGTAATTAGTCCACTATAATTCAATATTCTTGTTACTGACATCGTGGAGATTATATTTTCAAAAGCGTTGGTTGCTTTGTCGGTAATTCAAGCAAAATGATGAGTAAAGGAAATTTTGGTGTATGGGGTGGTGCCCATCTCTGTTTCAGTAGCCCTTTGGCCACACAGTCGTGCAAGCACTACAGCAGGGGACTAGTCCACAGGTAGCAGTGTGTGTGTGTTTAACGACGATATTCTAAGCATTGCAAATAATCATGAAGTAACATTCTTAATTGTCTTTGGTATGACTCGGAAATTTGGACCGGAATGCAAACTAAGGCCATGTTGATTTGATTATATGGATGACATCCGCGCGCGCATGAATTTTCGGCCGTTTCCAAAAAAAAAAAAGTTTTCAACCATACTGTAAATCGTGCAAAACAGTTGCTAAATGAGCAAAAATATACCATAAGTTGCAAGGAAAACATTTAGAAACGATACCAATGTCGTAGAATGCCAAAATCAAAGGAAAAAAGACAAAAATGTAAAGAAATGAATTCGAAGAGTAGATTATTCGCCATAACATATTCTGTGCCATTTTTTCAACCTTCATGACCACGTAGATTTCATAGTGAAAGCAACTTTTTTTTTTTTGCGAACCTTTTTTTTTATTCGCACGCGTATCATCCATATAATCAAATCAACATGGCCTAAGTAGTCAGTCCTACTCTACAGTATTATATGAAACAGATGCAGATGTCCTGGCCAAAGATTGTGACTATGTATCATTTCCATATGTGGTGACCTTGACTATTGACATGCCTTTCAACCACTGCCAGGGTTACCATTCAGGGACTGATCACTTAATACTCCTGAGGAGGATCTCTTCAAAATATGGACAGGCTGATTGTTTCTTCATGTTGCAAGTTTAAGTCAATTTTCTTGTTTTGTGCATAATGACATACTGATCAATTGATTAAGATGTAGAGAAAAGTTTTCAACAGCTGAGTGTCTTTCTTCCCAAACAGACCGGTGCAATGGCCGAGTGGATAGACTGCTCGCTTTGCATTCAGTAGGTTTTGAGTTCGATCCCTGGCCGAGTCATACCAAAGACTTTAAAATCGGTTCATACTGTTTTCTCTGCTTAGCATTTGGGAAAGAGTATGGTAGTTGAACACACACCACTACCAGTGGACTAGCCCCCTGCTGTAGTGATCGCACTGCTGTGTTTGGCACTGGGCTATACGAGTGATAGCTGCTTTCGTTAACATCATATAGATGCAAATTATTTGAAGACATTATGCAAATTATTGGTAGGTAAATCAGCCAAGTCATCTGCTTTTTACCTACCGTGACAACATGGCGATCACTCTTATAGAAACGGCAATTGATCTGTATCTGTATCAGTATAGCCGGTATAACCGCCCTTCGGCGCAACACACCAGCTCCGCAGGCACGCGGCGCGGCGGCAGCTAGCTATATCACACCGAATGACTTGTTACACTCAATCTTTGCACATTTAATTGCAGGAGTTGTTTAAAGCTTTCTAATGATGATGCCCCAACTGCGCTTGGTGGCAATGAGTTCCAGTCTACAATAGTTCTGGGGAAATACGAGTTCTTGAACACCTCAATTCTTGGTTGATAATTCTGATATTTGAAGGCATGACTGTTTGCGGGAAGGAACTTCAACTTAACGCTTTAACACACTGGCAGACCTACCCCAGCTCATAGCCTTGCCGTCCTCAGTGATGAGGACACTGTGCACCGCGGTGGGGCCTGAGAAGACGGAGCGCACCCTGACACCTGACATACTGCCGTAACGGTGGGGGCCCCACAGGTTCTGTCCTCTGTTTGCACTGCCCGCTGGAAGAAACACACAAAACAGGAAGTTAGGTCAATGGTCCCAGAAAAGTTCGTCTTGATTCCTGTCTTCAATATCCAAGTTCTGTTTGCACTGCCTGCTGAAAAAAGTACAAAATGGGAAGTTAGGCCAAAGGTCCCAGAAAAGGTTATCTTATTTCCTGTCTTCAATATCCAAATTCTGTCCTCTGTTTGCACTGCTTGCTAAAAAAAACAACACACAAAACAGGAAGTTAGGGCAATGGTCCCAGAAAAGGGGTCTTCAATATCCAAGTTCTGTCCTCTGTTTGTACTGCCCGCTGAAAAAGGTACTACTACTAGTACAAAACAGGAAGTTAGGTCAAAGGCCCGATAAAAGTTTATCTTGTTTCCTGTCTTTAATACCCATGTTCTGTTCTCTGCCTGCACTGACTACTGAAAAACAACAACACTAAACAGGTTAGGCAAAAGGTCCCAGAAAAGGTTATCTTATTTCCTGTCTTCAATATCCAAGCTCTGTCATCTCTTTGCACTGCCCACTGAAGAAAACTGCAAAACATTACGACAATTATCACAGTGAATTCCCTTCTATCAGTTTTAAGGAAACCAAAAAAAGATCAAATGTCAATCTCCAGATAAGAGGGGATTCTCCAAGACTGAACTTTACCACTGCCCTGAAATAAAAAAAAAAAAATTGGCTCAACCCATGCAGATATAACAGAAGGCTCGCTGAACAACTTACAGTTGAAAATAACTTACATGTACCTGATACATGCTGCTGCATACACACAACCAATCTGTCAACTTCTGTATCTGTATCTGTATAGCCGGTATAACCGCCTTTCGGCGTAACACACCAACTTGACATCGATATACAGAACTAACAGCCCACACTACATTCTGTTCAGAGACTGTCTATTGAATTGAGTCTTCTCCACAGTTTAATCACTAGTCTATCTGTGGTATTGACTTTTCCAGACATGGACCATGAGTGACTGGACTGTCCCTCTGAGTTTCTCCTGAACATTTGTCAATGTTGACTCAATTCTCAGAGAAAACCTGATTTAACTTTATCTCCGACTAGAAGCAAACTGGTTAAAATATATACTTTTTTTATCTATCAATGCAGTGGCTTGATTAAAGTTTTAACATCCAAGTTGTTTGAATTCTAAACCAGCCTGGAATGTTGACTTCAAGGCTCTAACCATAGCATTTAGGGCTATTTTTTTCTTCCCCGTCCCTTCAATATTTTTTCTAAAAAAATATGAGAAAAAGTTACACCTGTGTGGCCTTATATTTAATCAAAAACAAGGGAAGCACAACTTACTTGCATTCTTTGGTAACTGATTTCGACCAATCAGGTCCCAGTTGGTGCCTCCGCAGATCAACAGCTCACCACTGACCTTTGACCCTTCAAGCTTCTGCAAAAGTCGGTGAAAACATAAACAGCTGTTACATACATGTACATTTTGTACAAATTAATCATTAAAACAATCTCGCAACATCTGTTACATTGACTAAAGAGAGAAGACACAAAATGCAGTTTTTATCATAATAATTCAATGTAATTGACAGATATTATTATAAATCATTTTCAAATTTTCTTCTGAGTTTTTCTGAGGAAATTTTTAACCTAAAATCAGTACAGAATCATAGATATAGAATTAGACATTTCCAAAATTTGTAGACCTTGTTATGCATGTTAAACAAAAGACTTAAATGCATGTATAAGAAAAAATTATTTCAGTTCCATCCCAGAAGCTTGCAATGTTTGTTGTTTTGTTTATTATAAAAAGTACTAAACGATAGGCACATGAACAATAGCTTACAACTCAACTTAAAGTGTTTATAAACTTTTACTTTAACTTACAAAACAAACAAGCAGGAATCCCAGAAATATGTTAAGAAATAAACATTTCTATGTCAAAATCATTTTGCCACAGAAGTTGAGGATCCTCTTTTATGCATGATCGTTACTTTGGATTGATCTGAGCCGACCAAGCAAAGTACATGATTAGAATTCAGTCGATGCCCCCTACTGAATTCAATTTGAAAGGCAAACAAAGAGCCTATCAGGCGACACCTGTTGTCTTGATGCAGAGGAAAATTGACAAAGTGAAATTTGCATCACAAATCTACCCCTAAGGCAAGTAATGCACCGACCCAAAAATGGGGGGAGGGGGGCAAGGTCAACACATTTGTTTCCAAACCCCATTAGTAGACCTATTGTCCGCCAACATTATGTAAAAACACATAATAAAAATATACAAGTGTAAGTATTTTACAGATATTCATCCACCCTCTCATTGGTCAAACCATTAATTGCCATGCTATCATTGGTTGAACTGACTTATACTAGATGTTAACTGAAAAACCTTGAATCATAACCTTTTATCACAACGTTCTCTGTCATTGGACGAAACATTAATTGCCACGTTATCATTGGTTGAATTGCTAATTGTGATGGACAGTCAGGATCAGTCTATAAATACACCTTACACATACAGACTTTAATCTAAAAGTTGCCTTCAAATTATTAACTGACATATCCTAGATGTTCGTTGAAAAACCATGAATTATATTTTTTTTATCACACCCTTTTCTATCATTGGACGAAGCATTAATTGCCACATAATCATTGGTTGAACTTCTAATTGTGATGAAAAATCAGGACCAGTCTATAACAAACATCTAACATATATAGATTTTAATCTAAAAGTTGCCTTCCAATTATTAACTGACTTATCCCATATGTTTACTGAAAACCCTTGAATTATAACTTTTTTATCACAACCCTCTCTATCATTGGATGATCTGTTAATTGCCACAATATCATTGGCTCAATCAGAAGTACTAATTGTGATTGACAGACTATAACAAACACCTTGCATATATAGACTTTAATCTAAAAGTTGCCTTCCAATTATTAACTGGCTTATCCTGCATGTTTACTGAAAAACTTTGAATCTGTATCTGTATCTGTATAGCCTGTATAACCGCCCTTCGGCATAACACACCAGCTTCACAGGCACATAGCGCGGCGGCAGCTAGCTATATCACACCGAATGACTTGGTACACTTAATCTTTGCACATTGCAGGAGTTGTTTAAAGCTTTCTAGTGATGATGCCCCAACTGTGCTTGGTGGCAACGAGTTCCAGTCTACGATACATTGTAGTTCTGGGGAAATACGAGTTTTTGAATACTTTTGAATTCTCAATTCTTGGTTGATAACTCTGATATTTGGAGGCATGACTCATAACCCTTTATCAAAACCTGCTCATCAATTGTCTGAATTCACAGGCCTGTCAAGATACATAAACAGTCTAATGTAAGGGTCAGAATCTGACTGGAGAGGTCAGGGTAAAACCTTGGCTCACTTATGCACCTGAGTCAATACAACTATTCCTACGTAAACAACCATATGCATACAACCCAACGTTACAACATTGCATATAAGCAAGCTCATACAGAAAGTACATAGAAGTACTCAATTATGAAATGTTAACTTCAGCTACTTGCTAGAAAGGACTACTAGTTACTGCAAATTCAGTTATTTTGGTTGGGGCTACTTTTCAGCAAAACATAATTACAAACCTTACAGTCTCTCTTCAAAACTTGAGTCTAAAATTCTACAACAGAAATTACATTTAAGTACTCAATTATGAAATGTTGACTTCAGCTACTTGCTAGAAAGGACTACTAGTTACTGCAAATTCAGTTATTTTGTTGGGGCTACTTCAGTTTTCAGCAAAACATAATTACAAACTCTTCAAAACTTGAGTCTAAAGTTCTACAGCTTTTTTTAAAAGAGGTATTTTACAACAATGGGTTATTAATATTTTTCTGACACTAAAATTTCATCAAGAATATGCTGCATACTCGTGTACAATAGTACCTTTGGAACAAGCGAAAAATAACTTTTGTTCTGTTATGCATAACACATGTATGAGTTCTCATAAACTTGTCCATAAATAGGACTGTTGATTTTGAACAACGCAGAAATGTGGCAACCAATCTGACAACTGGGGCATGCGCAAGTATTTACTTAGTATTGATTTAGATCAAAAGGGTACAAAAAGAACTTCGATATTCAGAAATTTCAGATAGTAACATAATTAGAGAAGGCCTGCTTTGAGAGTTCTTTTTTTTTGTAATGACTAATGTTAATTTGAGAGATGATTGCCATGAAAAAAGGCCTACATGTACCTGTACATTTTACATAAATGGCAACATACAAATTTATGTACATCCATTACAAACAATACTTGTTTATGCATGTAAGAATAATGAATCTTGATACTTGAAAGTGTTTTTTTCACAAGAATGTAATGTAAACGAATTGTTTGCGTAGCTTTTAATTTTTATCTATCTATGGCCAACAGAAACAGAAGAAAACACAACATGCGTACACAGTGGTCGAAATCCTTTTTTTCGGTGCTCTGCAATATTGCAGAAGAGTCCAAATTTTGTTCTGCAATTTTGGAATACTTTCTGTAAATACACAAGTCTCCATACTACAACCTTCTCAAACCAATAATGCCCTTTTTACATCATAATTGTATAGCTTTGTAAATCTGCAGCATTACTGGAATTCTTTTAAGTTTAATCTATCACTCTTTTTAATTTCAGACTTTATAGATCCTTCTCTACAGAAAAGTTATCATTTCCTGGTATCTTTCACTGCCGTCTCCCACTACAAGCTACTACTAGTTGAATCCATTGAATCTGGAGCCTATTTTTCCTTCTGCAAAATTGCAGCTTGTATAAATTTTTCTTCTACAATCTTGAAAATCCATTTGCAGATTGCAGACTGCAGACAGGTATTTTGAACACGTGTACATGTAGTTCTTTGTAGCAGAACTAGAGTATCCGACATGCCCCATCTGAAGTGTACAGGTTTAGATGCACCCCTATTGTTCAGTTTAATCCAAGCCGCACCTGTGACACTGCTTTTAGCATAAACAAACACCTGCGCAAACAGACACCTGTTAGAGGAAAAAAAACTGCACCCTTTTTAACCTCCAGCCTGCTAGGGTAGCTGCTTGGCACCAAATGTGTATTAGTTGCAGAGTTAGGCTGCAGGGAGAAGGTTGAGATACTTTTTTGATAGAAGAATGTACATACAGTTTCAGCAATTTTGCAAGGGCAAGACAGTTGACTCTGGTCTTATTTTGGAACAAAAATAAAGTTAAAAGACCACCTGATGAGGCAACTGTAATTTTGTAAAGAAAAAAAAAAGTATCCCTAAACATCTAAATATCTTACAGATTCTTTCATGGAACAGGAAATACTATAGTAAAGTTGACGGCCACAAAACTGACATTATTGCAAGAAACCATTTGTGGAAGTCTTCAAATGGCTTTGAGAATGTTCAATGAAAGTGCAGTTTCATGAATCTAGGTTTTTTTTATTGCTGACATATCTTCAGAATGGCATGGTCGTTAGAACTACATAGTAACTGTTATAGCCTTCCAAATATGTTTGGATACTAGAATACGCAATTAAGTGTCAAAGTAGGTACTTCTTGGAGGATAAAAAAACACTTCAATTTCAAATGTGTGAGGACACCAAAAACTGCACTCATAAAGACAACCATAGCTACAGATATGATGTTTGGGTACTTCAGATGCCAAAGTGAACATGACGATATGGGACTTTTATTGATATTTTGTATCAAAAAGAGAATATCATTTATGGGTCATTAAGTCAAGGGAACTGCAAGGAAAAGATAATATTCATCTGTGGCAACCTGTTAGTACTCACAGATGAACATTTTCAAGTACAAGTTTTAGTTGAATAACTGTGTGCAACTTGAAAAAAAAAAACATTTGACTATCCTAAAAAAAACCTACAGAACACATAGAAAATAAAGAAAAATTTTATACAATTAAATACTGGTATTCAATCATAAAGCCCAAATCACATTAAAACAAAACACCTTGATACAATCTATGCATGGTCCAAAGTTCTATCTTGTCTGTTTAAACGAAGAGATTTAAAAATCTGAAAACAAATCTTTTCTGTGACAATTTGTTTCTTTTCAACACACCAACATGGCACCAAAACAAGCATGCTAGAAGGATTTAAACGTGATATAAAAATCACTTATGCTTCAGCCTTTTGCCTGTTGTTATGGTTCAAAATTGCGCGCACTAGAACTTGATCACAAAAGCCCTCAAAACGCGCAAACTTCTGTAAGCTGAGTTTGTTTTTCCGTACTTGTTATTATGCCATAAGGCACAAGTGTGGTACAGGGCGCCCTTTGTTTTGGCTACGACACACACCTCTGCGATAGCCTTTGCCGAAAATCTATTACAACTTTAAATTCAGTAAATATGCGGGCTGCCTGGATACTTATAACCCTTTGGCGTGCTATGTTCGACCGCTCTGCATGCAGAAAAGATTTTCCAAATCGCTTGGATCAATGATTTTGGTCCGAGCCTTTTGTGTCCACATCAAAGGTATACAGCATCGCCCCCCTCCCCACCCTGCAATCCATCGATACACCTTCCAACATCCGCCCGCCTATCCAGACACGGACGCGGTTTTTCAGACAGGAAATGGAGTAGTTAACACATCTAAGTAGAGAAATATAGCTGTCACGACGGTTTAGAGAAAAGATATGGGTTGGAAAATTAAGCACGCACGAGTGGCGGTTTGTCGGCGGCGGCTGGCTGGGAGGTCTCGGCGGCCGCCCCGTGTCCATTGTCTGCCGCGGCCGCTGCGCCCTCTTCCGACACTTCTTCTCCATTCTCGTCCGACTTTCCCTTCTTCGAGGCCTGCGGCTCCTCCTCTCCTGCCTTTCTCTTCTTGGGAGGCATGTTTTCTGACGGGAGAAACAGTGGAAAACGGCGGCACACGTACTCACAACAAATGACAGACCCGGGCGTGAGAGAACCATGAATTGCCAATGAGGCCAGGACAGACCACGTGGTTTTGCTCCGCTGATTTTCGCGCGAAATTTAGAAATCAATTTGCGAGGAAAGCCCTGGTCATTTGTCAGCTTGTCAACGGCGGGAACTCTTCCGAGTAGTAGGTACTGGCTACCGCGTTTTCTGTTTTGGATACGTTTTGTTCTTTTCTCGTTGAATTACTTTTCTTTCTTCTTCTTTTCGGAGAAAGACAAGGAGAAATATGAAACTAGGAAGGTAACATTTGCAAAGCAAATGCATATAAATGTTTACATTCGTATATGTTCTGCCCTGTTAATATATATTCATATATATGATCGACAGGAGTATACATCCCTCCTACTATGAAATTGCAACATTATGTAACCCAACACCAGTTACGTATACAATCAAGAGACGTCAACAAATCAGGTCATTGGCCAGGTCATCAATCAATCATTTAATCAAATCAATCAAAAATGGTTTATTGCTAAAAATCAAAACGTTGCAGCAGAAAGCTGAATTGCGTTCAAAGATGTACAATCATTTTAAAAACGTTAACAACCACACATAGTAGAACTGCACATTGAAAAATATTTACACGATATGACGTACATTTAGCTTAGAGTCAATTCCGCGTCACCGTGTGGGTTGTTATTGTCATTATTTAGAAATGTTTTGAATTCTTTGTAATAGTTTGTCTAAGAAATTTCATAATTTGGAAATAATTTGAACATCTTGTCAATATTCTAAATAATTCCTTGGTTTTCTAAAACGTTTGAAATATTCCTGATGTGGATTATGACATTTCAAATAGTTTCTAAATAATTCTAACAGCACTCTACCATTTTTTACCATTATTTCTAATTATTTCTAACATTTTGTCAATAGAGGTCAGTGGGATGGGAAGGAAGTAATTCACACATCCCTGTGAAGTACAGGGTAGACTGCCTGGGTGTCAGGCATTGATGCCTTACAACAAAAGAGCCATTAGTGTCCAGCAGTGAAATCTAAAAATATACAGAAGAATACAAAAGAGTAGGATTAGCACCTATTTTTATGGGGACAATTACCCACATCTACCATTTGGTCATTTGTTTGAAATATTTCTAAATATTTCGAATAGTGAAAGAAACAAATGGGTAGTTCAAATTTATTCTAAACTAGAGGTCGGAGATCTCATGTCTTCGTCAGAGGTACATCGTTCTAGAGAAATTAACATGCGTATTCTTCACTCTTTTTAACGATCAATTTGGTGTAAAGAACAAAAGAATCTCTGTACTATTTTTATGGTACAGAACACCCTGAAACGGTTTGCCGCAGACTATACAGATGCGTCGTCAACCGTGTTAG